GCAACCTTTTGAATGTTTATTTTGGCATTGGTTAGGTATCAGAAGAATTTTGTATTGAAGTTGTGAGGCTAAAATCCATTTAAAAATATTGTTGGTATGAATTTTGAAAAGGGAAGAGTTTCATGAAATGCTTCTAATGAAAAAGTTATTTTGACTCAAAAACAAAAACAAAATGTCCTTTCTTGAAAAGAAAGTGGTTATAACCTTTGTTAATACATGTAAAGTAGCACATTAATAAAAAATTTATGCTCAATTATGAATAACTTTATTAGTGCACAAAACATTTCAGTAATTTGATGGGGCTTACAGTATAGATATTGTCCTTTTTGTGTTCAAAATAGTTACCTTGGAGACAGATTTGATCGCAAATTATTTGTACATTTTTTTTTTTTTTTTTTAACTTGGGGATATGGTTGGAAGGTAATGGTAGACATCTAGACATCATCTATGGAAACATTCGTTAGTGCAGAGTTCTTATTTGCAACATCTCTTCAGAGGAAGCAGAGATGCACCTGAGTGTGCTCTAGGTGTTGTGGGGGCTTTGGGGTGGAGGGAAGAGAATAGCCCCAGCCCTGTGCCTGGAGCATTGCGGTGGGCCATGCACACTGCTGTTGGTCTTCAGTCTTTGTGAGCTGAACTAGGGATGCTGGTTTAGGAAACCAGCTAAACATGCCTTGTTGTAGCCAGTAAAAATCAGAAGATGTGTCTGCTGCATGCTTTCCTCTGCTTCTCTAGGATTGTGACAATTTTCAGCAGTAAACCTGGGGGAGACTAGTTGAGCCCCATAGTCAGCGTACAAAAAGATATCGCATCCTTACAATAATGTACATTTCAGAGATGGCAAAGAAAGTTTTATATAGAGTTTTTCTTATCATTGAAGTTGAGAATGAGATTCTTCTCTTCTCTGGAGTCCTTTGTCATTTGTTCCCAGGCTGCGTATCCTGCTAAGGGATACTCAGTAGTGGAAATGGAGGTTCTTGATTATTCACAGTGGCAGGGTTTGGAACAGTCGGTTGCAAATTGCTTACTTGTCTTTAGTAGAACTGTTTAGGCCTAACTGAAATATTGAATATCTTTTATTTTTCTCTAGAACCTTGGCAACGCATTGAAAGATCACATGCTGATTAAAAACTTGGGAATTATGTTTAATAAAATCATGAAAATAAGAAAAATTTGTGTGACAAAATACTTAATACGTTAGTTTTCAATATTTCTCAACTATATGACCTTGGAAGATATAGTCTAGTTTCTTGGACTTCAATTCACTCATCTGTGAAATGGGAAATAATTAAAGTGCCTGTCTCAGGATTGTGCAGAGGATTCTATGAGTTGATATATGCCGAGTGCTTAAACAGTTCCTGGCATGTAGCAAATGTAGTCTAATTATTGAGTATTCTTTTTGTGTTAAGTCCATTGAAAGACAGTATTGCAGGGATTTGGGTCAAGTCATTGACCTCTCTTGGGCCTCGATTTCCTCTGTAAAGAGGGGATAGCAGTAGTTTCTTCTGCCTTCGTAAGTAGGACTGTGTGAAAATTAATGGATTAAAATTCACATGAAGCCCTTAGAACAATGTGTGGTGGTGTAGTCAGTTCTCACTAATGTTATCCTCCACTGTTCAGGTACTTTGAGTCACTAGATTGTCACAACAGCCCTGTAACATGTATGTGTGTATCTTTTTGTATTTTTTTTTTTTAAACAACTGGGGAGACACGTTGTAAGATGCTTAAGATTGCACTCTGAGAATTGGAACTCAGATCTTAAATATAAACAGCCTCTGCCCTCTTTTTTTACTTCATATTCTTAGTGATAAGAATATTGAAAATAACTGACCTATAGACCCCTGTTGCTTTTTTGTATCTTGTTGGTTTTGAAGATGTTATGCCCCTGAAGCTTTGTGATTATGTAAATATGTAAGTGTCGAGTGAAACCGTATCATACTCTTCCTCACAGAAGTCGTAATGAGTGCCTGACTTTTTGTGTAACTTGTTATGTTTAGTGTTTTCTTCCCCTAGTATAGAGGATTTCAATTCTTTACTTTGTAGCTGCAGAGAATCTGTATGCCTCAAGGCATCTTTGGAGGCTTTACATATCCAAGAAGCTAATTGAACATACGGAATGTATGTGTAGTTCACTTAATGCACATCATACTGTCATTCCAGGAAAAATTGACTCTAAATTATTATTTTCTACTTGAAATAATAGGCTTTGTACAGACTGCTAAACTACCATTTGTCCTGTGATGTGCCTATGGATGGAGACCAGATCAAAGGGAAGATAGAAAAATGGCAATGATAACCATATCTGGGATACAGGGTGATTTGTTTTTCTCATTCCCAAGTTCTCTTTGCTGCTATTTTATAATTTAAAATAAATGTATTAAAATAATTCTGGAGTTGGAAGATAAGCTATATCTCATGCTAGATTTAAGGAAGAGTCCTTTTTTTTTTTTTTCCTATATGTGGTTTCCCCTCCTGGTGTTATGTATAAACTATGTATATTTACTTGTCACTGCTTTGAACTCCTTGGGAAAATTTAAGACATACCCTCTATAGTGTGGGTTCATTAGAAATAATCTGCCCCATTAGTACATGGCTGTATCATTCATATTTGTATCTACAAAGAGCACACAGAAGCAGCTGGTGGAGCATTCTTCCTTCACCATTATTTTTTAATGCCCTCATGTATTATTTACCCTCAGTAAACACAATAGTTAGCTTTCGGCTATGGGTGCCTGCTGGAAGCTTAATTGCAGAAGATTTGGCAGGTATATGAAGTGTCTAATGCTGTGCTGGGTTTGTGCCTCACACACTTTTCTGCTTTCCTCCTGTGAACAGTGAGACCCTAGAGGGACAAGGGGCCTCCAGAAAATGCCGTTCATGTCTGCACCCGAGGAGCAGCGCAGCTGGCTGAATTTGCTATTGTGTAAAGCAGTGTTTATTTCCTGTCTTTTGTTTTTAACATTTCTTTTTCTTTTCCTTGATATTTATTCTTTTATTTATTTATTTTTTAATTATTAGAAAGGACAGAGACTTTGAATTTACCAGTAGGAAATTGCTGAACTGTCTCTTGTTCCGTCTTTGAGGAAACAGGATGTGTGAGAAAGTAGGAGAAATGTAAGAGAATAGTTCTTTTTAGGTTTTCAGAACCCATAGTTGTTGATTAGTTGAGTGGTAGCACCTAGGTCTTTCATGAAGTCATCTGGCTTTGATCGACATATCTGCCTTTTTTTTCCTACTGAACATGTCATGTAAGACCAAATATAAATTGAAGTTTCTTTCTAAAGAACATCTATTCCTCAGGAAAAATAGTGGAGAGTGTCCTTAAAAATCCAGTTCTTTCATCTTGAATTAATTTTTTGTTGTTTTGTATTGTTTTTTAAAAAAAGCAGACTTTTTTAAAGAGAAGTTTCAGGTTCACAGCAAAATTGATGTCATGTAGTTGGAATCATATAGTCTGTACCCTTTTCAGATTGGCTGCTTTCACTTAGCAGTTCTCACTTAAGGTTCTTCCATGTTTTCATGGAGCTCATTTCTTAGAGTTGACTAATATTGCATTGTCTAGATGTTCTACAGTTTGTTTATTCACCAACTAAAGACACATTGTTGCTGTCAACTTTTGGCAATTCTGAACAGAGCTGCTTTAAACACCCTGTGCAGATTTTTGAGTGGAGGTACAGTTTCACCTCATTTGGGTGAATATCAAGGAGTGAAATTGCTGGTAAGAGTATATTTAGTTTTGTAACAAACTGGCAAAATGTTTTCCAAAGTGGCTGTACCATTTTGCATCCCCACCAGCTATGAACAAGGGTTCCTATTGCTCCACATCCTTGGCAACATTAGATGTTGTCAGTGTTTTGGATTTTGGCTATTCTGATAGGTGTATTGTGCTATCTTGTTTTGATTTGCAATTTCCTAATGACGTATGATGTTGAACATCTTTTTATATGCTTATTTATAATCTGTGTCTTCTTTGGTGAGATATCTATTCAGGTCTTTTGCCCAGTTTTAAATTTCAGTTGTTCATTTTCTTATTGGTGAGTTTTAATTGTTTATTTTGTATATTTTTGGATAACAGCCCTTTATCTAAAGATATGCCTTTTGAGTATATTTTTCTCCCAGTCTTTGGCTTATCTTCTTATTCTTTTGAGAATTACTTTATTTCGAATAATAAAGTGTTGGACACATCTATGAAAAGCCCTCCATTAGTGCCAGTTTTTCATGGTTGTTGAGGTTACCTGACAGATTTGGTTTAAAACAAATTAAAGTGATTAAACACATTTAGTAATTATTCTTAGGGATATGTCAAGTGTTGTGAACAAACCTTGTAAAGAGCTCCTAATGAGCAGTATGTAAATGGTTATGTTGTTATCACAAATATGTACATAAATTGTAGTATGTACATAAAATTGTAGTATAAATGGGGTAAAACACCATCCCAGTGTTTTATAAATGAGTACATGGAGCTTGGATAAAAATTCCAGGCTGCATTTCATGTGGGATCAAAAAGTTCTGATTTTCAGACCACAGTGGTGGAAGTAAAGCTGACATTCTAGAATACTGTGTTGCGTGGGTAAAAGGTGGCTTTCCTGACAGTGGTGATAAAGGTATATATAAAAGCTGGAATAAAATGGTTTTGTGATATGGTAAAGATAATAAGTGTGATGGTTCAGGTGGTTTTTGTTTGCTTGTTTCCAAGTTCTTTTTGTTGTTACCGCTTACTTGAGGCTACCTCTCATTTGTAGTTGCCTGATTTTGACATAGGTAGTATATTTTAGGAATTTATTATTTCCCAGTAGATAATGGGACATTGTGCTTAATTACTTCTTGTATGTGGGATACTATCTGCTTGAGAGTATTGATTGAGGGGAACATAGCACTCACAGCCTTCTTTTATGCTACTTTTTGGTTTCATTTTGAGAGATTTTCTTCATTAAGATACCCTTTGGTGAACTCTAAATTCTTGAACCAAACATTTAAATTGTACTCCTATTGTTATATAGGATATTGTACCTGTGGATGCATCTTATGAAGTAAAAGAACTATATGTGCCAGAAAATAAACTTCATTTGGCAAAAACAGATGCGGAAACATTACCAGCACTGAAAATTAACAAAGTAAGTTCTTTGTTGCTTTTCACACCAAGTGATACAGCCTTATGTACAGTAGTTTGTTAAATTTGTGACTTACAGCAGTATATGAGGCCCAGGGTGGTATTAGCTGGGGGGCAAATATGTTGTGGTATATATCACAATTTCTAAGGATGGGGAATGTGTTTAATTTGTGCGACCACGTTCCCAAATTACCATGATTTTCATTTGGTTTGAGTAATAATATTTATTTATTTTGAACTATCAAAGAACAAATATGAGATCTTTAGGCATATCAGAAATAATGTGTCCTAAAAGGTCAAGAAATACTAATCCATAGTTATTAAGTAAACATTCTCCCCTTCAGACATGTTTTCTGATCCCTTGCCAAAACTTGGCTCTCTCCATCTTATATTGTTAAGAATAATTTTAGGCCGGGCGCGGTGGCTCAAGCCTGTAATCCCAGCACTTTGGGAGGCCGAGACGGGTGGATCACGAGTTCAGGAGATCGAGACCATCCGGACTAACGCGGTGAGACCCCGTCTCTACCAAAAAAACACAAAAAACTAGCCGGGCGAGGTGGCGGGCGCCTGTAGTCCCAGCTACTCGGGAGGCTGAGGCAGGAGAATGGCGTAAACCCGGCAGGCGGAGCTTGCAGTGAGCTGAGATCCGGCCACTGCACTCCAGCCTGGGCGACAGAGCGAGACTCCGTCTCAAAAAAAAAAAAAAAAAAAAAAAAAAAAGAATAATTTTATTGTGTATCTTAGCTCTGATGATATCATTAACTATCTTTCTCAATACAACTGCTTAGTTAAACATGATGAGAATGGAAACTATAATTTATCATTTTCAAATCTTAGAGAATTTTAAGTTGTATAATTTATGTATACTTTAAAAAAAGGGAGATTAAAAATAAGTATTTGGACTAGAAGCTGGATTCCCCATCCTTTCTTTTAATATAGTAAAAACCCAAAATACCCAGGGAAGTGCCACATCTGAAAGTAAGGAGAAAGGAAAACAAAACAAAACTTCTAGGCTTGAAGAAAGACTCTTTAAGTCGTTACCGAAATCCCTGATGGGAGTAAATTATATTGGTGCACTTTGTGTGTGTGATTGGGTCCCTGACCAGAAACCAGGACATCCCAGGGAATGACAAGAAGTGAGAACTACAGAGCAGAGCAGCCCAGGAAGTGAACTGTTACAAAAGAACAACAAAATTGGTTGCTTACAGACTGCATGGAATGAATACACGCAGACAAAGGCAGAGAGAGGAAGAAGAATGAATGACTATAAATTTACATGTCAGATTCTAGAATCCAGAAAGACAGTAGATTTTTCTAAGTGGAATGTTTTTTCAATTCATTGGTTCTCAAATTTCTTCAGTTGGCAGAGCATCTGGAAGGCACACTGCCATTCTTTGTACCTCCTCACATGCCCTGTTTCTAAGTATAGTAGCATTGGAGTTAGGGCTTCAATATAGGAATTTTGAGAGGACACAGACGTTCAACCCCTAACAGATACCATCTAGAATTGAATTCCAGTAGAAACAAGTAGTAGCCACCATCAAGGGTTTTGGGAAAAAATATTTCTCCATGAATACAATTTTTTTTCCTGTGAATTGAAGCAGGAGAATACCATTATTTGATTTTGCATTGGAACACATTGGCAAACATACTCTGGGAGTAAAGAGTAGGCTGCATTTTACTGCACACCACTCGGCCAGGTGCTTTATCTTTCTCATTGGAGAGCCACTGCTGTATGCCCAGTTAAAAAATGAGCATATCCAGCTTACATAAACGATAAGTACATTGTTCATTGGTCCTTTAATTTTCTGATGGGATATGCTAGAAATCTCAAAGTTCAAGAAATAATAGTCTTGCAAAATGAAGAGTACTCTGTCATGGATAAAAGAGACTTTTCTTGGAAAATATTTTATTTAAATTTTCTCCTTTTTTTTTTTTTTTTGGAGACAGAGTCTTGCTATATTGCCCAGGCTGGAGTACAGTGGCTTCCCTTTTTTTTTTTTTTTTTTTTTTTTCCTAACAAGACCACAGAACAGAAGGTACTTAATTCTATACACCTTTTTTTAAGAATACAGAGAATACAGTACTTTATGGTCACTTTTTTGTGAGTCACTTGATGGACCAAGGCTCTTCTTATTTATTGTATGTCAAGTGACCTCTGCCAATATTTCCCTTTTGAAGTTTAAATAGTCTTAGCTGGCCAGTGGGGTGATGCCTGTGTCTTTCCAACAAGATTTTGTTAATCTTGGAAAGACTCCTTGCTTCCTGGCTCAGCAAGATGTTCCAGGCTCACTTTGTACCTTCTAGTCCTATAATTGGACTCAGCCTTTTCTCCAACCAGCCCTAGTTCCCTTTGGAGATCATAAGCTGCGTGCTTGGGTGCACTGTAGAGGTACCAAACTGTCAAATAAAATGCAGCTTTACAGATAAAGTTGAAGTCTTCTCTGTGAAAAGATTATGCCATCATTTTACATTTCCCTGATGATTTATGAGAACAACCATCTTTTGCATACATTTATTGGTCATTTGAGTTTCCTTGTCTCCCAGTGACTTTTTTTTTTTTTTTTTTTGAGACATGGTCTCAGTCTACTGCCCAGGCTGGAGTGCAGTGGCGTGATCTCAGCTCACTGCAACCTCTACCTACTGGGCTCAAGTGATTCCCGGCTCAAGCGACTCCCATGCCTCAGCCTCCGAAGTAGCTGGGACTACAGGCATGCACCACCACACCTGGCTAATTGTTTGTATTTTTAGTAGAGACTGGATTTCATCATGTTGGCCAGGCTGGTCTTGAGCTCCTTGATGTCAGGTGATCTGCCTGCTTTGGCCTCCAAAGTGCTGGAATTACAGGCGTGAGCCACCTCATTTGGCCATAAAGTTTCTCTTGGTTAAGGACAGTGGTTATCAAAGTGTTAGATCATCACTGTTAGCATTTTCTGGGAACATTTTAGAAATACAGATTCTTGGTCTCCGCAGCAAGCTGACTGAATCAGAAACTCTGCAGGTGAAGCAATCATCATTTTAGTAAGCTTTCCAGGGGTTTGAGGTAAAGGTTGAGAACCACGAGTTTAGGAGAGGCTGTGCTTATTAGAAATACTTGGAGGCCTAATGTTATTTAAATTTAATAGGAGAAGGAAATATTTTCCTAGTGCCCTTATTCTTTGTTAGTTTGGTATAATCTATACTCATCCTTACACTGTTTGTTTCCATTGCTTTCCAAATTAAATTCCTGAAGATCATCACTGCTTTTGCTTATATATACATGCAATAGAAAATTTTGCTTTACTTTCAAATTTACTAGGTGGATATGCAGTGGGTGCAGGTTTTGGCAGAAGGTTGGGCAACCCCATTGAATGGCTTTATGAGAGAGAGGGAGTACTTGCAGTGCCTTCATTTTGATTGTCTTCTGGATGGTAAGACATTTTACATTCAAAATTATATATGGCAGAGAAATTACATAGTTGCAGAGATTTATCACTGTTTACAAATAGTAGTAGGGAAACATCTTAGTAGAGGTAGCATTATAAGACTAAGTTATATCATTACTGAACACTTTATTTAAGTGAATCATGATACCTCATTTTTGTTTTTCCCTTTCCTGACTCTTACTTATTTTAGAGAGAGAGGGAAATCTGGGGATCAGGGCTGAGGATGGATTGTAAAACACATACAATTATTCTATGCTGTTTTTGCCTGATCACTATGGAAAGCTGCTTCCCACCGAGGGCATGTATGTGCTGCTTTTTGTGGTACTGAAGCTCATGCTTGAGCCTTCTAATGAGGAATTGTGGAGTCCTAGTTAAGGAATTCTGAAATATGTGGCTAAAAATGTGGTCCTTTCTATTCTTTTAAAACATTAACAAAAAATTGTCCAAGAAATTGATGTTGGCCAGGCGTGGTGGCGCACGCCTGTAATCTCAGCACTTTGAGAGGCTGAGGCGAGTGGATCACTGGAGGGGAGTGGATCACCTGAGGTCAGGAGTTCAAGACCAACTTGGCCAACATGGTGAAACCCCGTCTCTAGTAAAAATACAAAACTTAGCTAGGCGTGGTGGTTTGTGCCTCTAATCCCAGCTACTTGGGAGGCTGAGGCAGGAAAATCGCTTGAATCTAGGAAGTGGAAGGTGTGGTGAGCCAAGATCATGGTGCCACTATACTCCAGCCTGGACAAAAGGACGAGACTCTGTCTCAAAAAAAAAAAAAAAAAAAGATGTCCAACATATTATCATTATAATCCAGCAGCCTTTAATTTTGTATTGTATACTGTTGGTAAGATTAATTTACTACCTTATGAAAATATTTTTAAATGTCACAGAACCCTACTATAATTGCTACCAAGTTTTTTTGTTTTGTGACTTCTTTTAACTGGGTGGTGAAATAGATATTAGAAAACATAATTCCTAATCATTCTTCTCAAGAAACTTTATCAAAAGAACATAAAGATTAAACAATGCATTTTGATTTTCTTCCTTGGAACTAATCGCAAAGTCTTGTGGACTACCTCCTTTATAATGATTTAGTCTTGGGCTTGGTGCAAATCTACCTATTCATTTTCCATGTTACACTTTACCTAGTGGTAGTAATTTAAAAAGCAGCCAAGCAGTTTTCATTACTCTGCTTGACATTTTTTGTTCAAAGAAGATATGCCATGATGTCCAAAAATATGATTTCTTTAGTATATAAATAGTCCAAATATGAATATGAGAGTGCATTTTATTTTTCTAACCTATAGATGATGAATAGAAAGAAGATTTTTACAGCTTGCAAGGTTGCATGCTGAGACTATGCCTTTAGTATCACTGACAACACATTTTGGTTTAAATGCAACCATTACTGTCTTTATTTCTTGGTTAGTGATAGCTGATATCAGTTTGAATTTGACTGTATTAAAAAAAGACTTTTTGGATAGTTCTGTCTTCGTATCTCAAGTATACTCAAGTGTACTTAATCAACTTGTCACATAAATTGTAGTTATTATGTCATCCTGTTATCAACAAGGATTTAAGTTTTTCCTGAAAAGGCCCAGAAACGTAGTTCTTTGTCTGTTTCATATATTGGAAAATTGGAAGTGCACAATATATATTTGGTGATTTTAGGCTTAACCAGCTGATTCTTTCTTGTTAAACAGTTTACGTATGTAATTCTATACCAAAATGTACCCAAAGACAATTTGATTCTTTTAATTTTTGCTTTTTTTTTTTTTAAACTTCTGAGCTCATTGCTTATTCTCCCTGTTCCTTGTAGCTTGTTCTTTCTTTCGTTTTTCTGTGCCAGATACCAGTTGAATACTGTCACTGGACCCACAGCCTTTTATTATTTGAAAAGTGTCCCCTGAAGTGAAAGTGGATGTAAGTAAAGCCTGCTGAGTAATCCAAGCTGTGTGCTTCATGTTCTTTTGTGCTCTGCAGGAGGTGTCATTAACTTGTCAGTACCTATAGTTCTGACTGCTACTCATGAAGATAAAGAGAGGCTGGATGGCTGTACAGCATTTGCTCTGATGTATGAGGGCCGCCGTGTGGCCATTCTTCGCAATCCAGAGTTTTTTGAGCACAGAAAAGAGGAGCGCTGTGCCAGACAGTGGGGAACAACATGCAAGAACCACCCCTACATTAAGGTGCTGAAAAAAACTCGCTGCATTTTATCTTGATTTGCCAGTGACGTTTGTGCTGAAATGTGGGCATTTTCTGTGTATTGACTTTTCATTGGAATTGTTAATATTTTGCGGAATAGAGATTGGACCTTAGATTAGTGTGATGAGTGTTTATGCTCTTGTCATTTTGGTCCAGATAAATATTTATTCAGCAAACATATTTTAAATCTCTATTATATACATGGCACTGAGCTAGGTGCTGATGCTGGGAATGCAGGGCCAGGGACACCACCAGCACAGTGTTTCAGCTCTTGGAGTATACAGTCTTGTCGTATGCTTAGGCATGTACTTATAATGAGCATGTGAGGTAGAGGCTAAGGGAGCCCTCACCAGGGTGGTTTGATGTGACAGCAGTGAAATATAATTTCTCATCAAAGTACCTCATTTATTATATGTGTATGTTGTATGTGGAATGTTATTGAAGTCAAATTTCTGTCAGTTGTTAGGTGTGTTAAGGTAGACTGAAAAAGAAGCTGGGTGCGTTGTTGGCACATAAGCCAAAGCCTCATGGGGAAAAGGAGGGCTGGAGCTGCCTTGTGAAGATGAACAGGTCCTGGAGGGTAATAGCTCCTCCTTTCAGATGCAGGGAAAGAAAGTAGTAAAATTGTAAGAAATTTGAGGTGGTGTGGAGACTGGAAGGCATGAATTTGTATCTAACTCAATGATCATTAATTCTTCAAAAGGTTAGGATTGGAGAACACAGAGTATGGGATGACCAAGGGCTACAAATTGTTCTGTTAATCGATGTACAATAATAATGAAAAGAATGTTTTTGTTACTTGAAAAGGTATAATTATTCACATTGCTTTTGTTTGCCTTTCATATGTAAAGATAGTTATTTTACAAGTTTTCTGGGAAATTACAAAATCGATTCTAATTTTATAGCATCTCTAATGTCAATTTAGTTGATAAGTCAGATTTACCTCATTTAAGATGAGAGTAGCTTACAATGACTGTATTTAGCTTATATGAGAGAAATGTTTTTACTTATTTTGATCTCGGTTTCCATTAAATTTTTTTTTTCTTCCTATTAGATGGTTATGGAACAAGGAGATTGGCTGATTGGAGGAGATCTTCAAGTCTTGGATCGAGTTTATTGGAATGATGGTCTTGATCAGTATCGTCTTACTCCTACTGAGCTAAAGCAGAAATTTAAAGATATGAATGCTGGTAAGACATGGATTTAATTACCTAATAGAGGTTGGCTTGGAGAGAAAGTTCTAGAATATTTTTTCTAGTGCTTACTAAAATGTAAAACAAAGATGAATAAATATAGCAGTGAAATATGTAAAGAAAGGTAGTCAATCAAAACTAACCTGTGTAGTTTTATTATAGTGGTATAACTTGAATTGACATTATTTTGAATACTCTGGAAGCCAGATGCTAATATAGAATTTACCTTTCGTTTATTATAAAACTCACATGTTAAAGCTGAATGGAACTATAGAATATTATTTGAATAATTCACTCATATAAATATGCTTTATATGTCTGAATGTTTTACGTAACATATATATACACACACACATATATATATGAATGTCATATATCTCAGAATGTTTTACTTGACATTCATATATTGGAAGTGCACAGTGTATATTTGCTGTGATGTATCACAGCAAATAGTGATATATGAGCATTATATCATACTATTGTACCAATGAAACATGACTATGATTTAAACAATAGAGAAAGTTGTTTAAAGCAAAAATTAAAAGAAACAACACTGTGTGTAGAAATACTTCTCAAAACAATTCATCAAACTGTCTTTGGGTACAAATTTTTGGTATAGAATTACAGAAGTAAAAGAAACTTAACAAGGAAGAATCAGCTGGTTAAGCCTAACATCACCAAATATAAACCGTGTACTTCCAATATATGAATGTCAGGTATCGCAGCAAATAATGGAACAATGGAACTTTTATCATGTTCACTTCATTTAAAAAACGTTTGTGGATCTTTATATGCCAGTATGCCCTGTGCTGAGGATCCATAAATAAGTACTCTAGGAGCTTATGGTATAGAAGAGAGAGACATTAAACAATAACACAAAAAGTTGTTTAAGAGAATACAGAAGCTGCAGATGCTGTTCTTTATAATACTGCTTTCTATATTATAAAGCACTCTAGGACAGGATTTTTATATCAAACTTCCTGCTATTAGGTCTTTGACACAGAGGTGGGTAAATGGATGTGCTTACCTTGATGCACCCATACTCTTTCTATACCTGCAAATTGAAGATTCTGTATCAGGGAACAGCATTCACTGTAGATTTGGGGAGGCTTTTTTAAGCCTTAAAATTTGAAGCATCCTGCAGTTGTGCTTCTAATTAATTCCCACCCACTGCAGAGATGGTTTGGCCCTAAGCACTGGTGCTGCTCTTTCATATTTTCTGTGTAGAAATCAGATGGATGTGACTGAGAAAGGGCAGGTGAATGTGTTTGCCTTTTTGGGGTATATAACTGGCCACCAAGCCATGTTTGTGAACCAGAAACCCTCATTCCAAGCAACTGCAGAACAACTGGGAAAGAGCAGGCATTTGTGTTTGTGTTTGTGTTTGTGTTAGTGTCAGTGAACTCCAGAATGCTCCTGGTAGGCATTCAGAGTTCTGTGTTCAGACTCTGCTTCACCACCTAGCAGTTATGTGTTTGTGGGGAAATTGCTTTTCTCTCTAAGGCTCATGGACAATTGATGAGGATATTGATGGTACCTAAAGCATAACATTTTACTTTAAAAAGTGAAATGAGATAAGATGTGTAAGGGACTTTAAACTGTACTGGTATGTAGTAAGAGATTAAGTTGTTGATATGGTTTGGCTCCCAAATCTCATCTTGAATTGTAGTTCCCATAATCCGCATCTGTCATGGGAGGGACCCAGTAGGAGGTAATTGAATCATAGGGGTTGTTTCCCCCATGACAGTAAGTTCTCAAAAGGTCTGATGGTTTTATAAGGGGCTTCCCCTTTTGCTTGGTTCTCATTCTCTCTCCTGCCACCATGTGAAGAAGGACGTGTTTGCTTCCCTTTCCACCATGATTGTAAGTTTCCTGAGGCCTCCCCAGCTGTGTGGAACTGTGAGTCAATTAAACCTCTTTTCTTTATAAATTACTCGGTCTTGGGCATTTCTTCAGAGCAGCATGGTAATACAGGTGCCTTAATTTTTGTTGTGTGAACTGAAGCTAGACTTTATTCATGTGAAGGTTAGAGCAAGAATATCTGTTTATGCCTAAGCTCTGCTGTAGACTGCTGAAATTTGAAGTGTTATGAACTTAATAAAATGGGTTAAGAACTGGAGGCCTGAGATGGGCCACCCACTCTTCAGTGCTCCATAGTTCCTACCTAGTCTGCTTAACTCATTCACATTTCTTTCTTGGCTCCTTTAGGGTTTTTGAGTGTGGGATCCCTTTTTACCCTTTTATACTTTACTCCTGAATTTGAAGCAAATATTTGGCTTAAATTACTTATACAGAAACTTCTTTGAGTGCTGTACTTGGTGCTGCCTGTATAACAGCTCATTTCTCTTCTTTTTTGCTAACATGTTTTATATACAGGAATGAATAATGACTGATATAAGTTAATAATGATGTCCCACTCTTTTTTGTCAGTGTGTGATTAAGGGTCAGTGCATTAAGTCATTTCTGGCCATTGAGCTCTAAGGAAGAGGGTTTTCAGGAAAGATTCTCTTTCCGACAGTTTGGCTTATGCCAAACAAATTCTGTTTTTTTCACCCTTCTCTTTCTTCCTGTTTTGGATGTTTGGAGTTCCTGCAACCATTTTGTATTCATGAAAATTCCAAATATGCTAACTTTTGTCCTTATACTGTGAGTTTCTCATCCAGCCAGGGAATCATTTATCTCCAGATTTCTTATTCAAAGAGATAGCATATATTCAGATTATTTAAGATACTTCTAGTTGGGTTTTCTGTGATTTGCAACCAGAAGCATCTGGTAGTTTATTATCTGTACTCTTCCCTTTTCTGCTGGTGAACAGAAACATGTTTAATGGAGGACTTACTGTGATCATGTTATTTAAATTTTTGCCAAAATTTGAATTCATATCTGGAACTGATGTTAGTAAATTAGTTGTTGGCATTGTTGAAAGGGTCTTATCAAGGAATTGTTCATAATTAGGGACTTTCATATTACATCTGTTTCGCACTCTTTTTTGTGAGCCAAACATTTTAAGTCATTTAGAGAATGTGTTGCATAATGAATGATTGCAACTTTGTTTAAAGTAGCTGAGAGCCAGTTATTAGCCTTACATCAAACAACACAAATTGGAGTGTTATTTTATTTTTCCATTTTTATACTGAGGCAAATAAGCAACAGACTAAGGAGTTTACTTTGTAGTTCTTGTTCACTCTTTTAGGAAGCCAATAACAAGTCAGTTCTGATGTGTTCAGAGGAGAGAAAGCAGGGAATTTATTTATTTATTTTCTTAATCTAGGATTTCTTTCCTTACCTCTTCCTCCTCCTCCTCCCCTCATCTTAGAAGTACTTTGATTACCACATCTGGGCTACTGTCCTGTGCACAGCACTATCAGTGTGACTGTTCTTAGACCACTCTGTAGCTGGGAAGGATTGAGAAGTCTTTAATACCCACATTGGTGATTGCAAGGTGATATATTTCCAGATGGCAAGTTCTTTGAATTACCGATGATTGACCAATGTCCTGGAGGGGAAGAATGCATTTCACTTATGCCAAGTCAGAGCCTGTTAGTGTTTATTAAACATAGAATATTGGTGTCCTGCTGATTGCAAAGGGAAGAGTTGACATAATTTCTTTCAGACTAGTGTGTGGTAGTACAGTGTTGAATAAATCTGAGAAAGCTTTATAGAGTTGCTGAATTACAAACTACATTTTAAGTGAGTAAATGGAGACATCAGAAGGATGTTTTAAGTAAAGTTAGGGATGGTACATGAGAAAGCTGAGTCAGAAGCAGATCTGTGTTTGGCTCTGAAGTGGATAGTGGATCTCAATGATAAGTGGCAGCAAGCCAGAGAGCTGAGATTGGGTGAGGGGAACCTGTGTCAGTCAGCTCCCAGCAGGAAGCAGAAGGCACACTCAGATGAGGCTTTGAGCATAATTCAATGAAGTGAGTATTTAAAGAAGGATGGTCAGAGTTAAGGGAACCTACAAGGAGTTGCTGAGGTGTCCAGGGACTAGTGGCATTGAGCAGTGTTAGCCAGCCCCAAAGGGGTGAGAGCAGGAATCTGTGTTTCTGAAGCCAGGTGGGAGCTGTAGCTGTGGGAGGGCCGCTGGGCAGAAGCGGTTTGAAGGGTCACCGGCACAGCCAGAATCACAGTGCTGAGGCAGATGATAGTGGGGAGAAGAGCTCCCCCAAAACTTTTCTCCGTCCATCCTGTGGTTGCCTGCTAATGCCTCCACCCTCAAGGCAGGAGGACAACAGCCCTGTCTAGGAGAAGCCCTGAGGGACCCCTCCGCTCCCTGCCCCAGGACACCAGAGGATAGATGGGGAGGGGAATGGCAAATAAGCGGCACAGAACTTTATATACTGGCACAAAGCTTTATAGTCAACATCTTACTTTAATTTGGAAGCATTTTTAGTCATGAGAATAGAAAATAGTTCATTGCTGCCATGCTTTAGAGTATGAATTTACCAGTTTGTGAAAAATTCTAATATCTTTATATTTGTTTAAGGGGCCCATCTCTTATTCCTTTATTTCTCCCCCCTCTCTCAAGCAGTTTGAGTAAAAGAGACTGTTAGTTTATGATAATCCCAAGGAAGAAGGAGAGATCAGATTGCTTTGTTCTTCCAGGTCCCTTCACAAAAACTCCCACAGAAACAAACATTAAACACACACACACAACTCTGGCAACCCGTTCCATTGTCTTGTTTAGCTACTATATTGATTTAGGGAAAAACAGAAATGTCTGTTCTTGGAGCTTTGGGGTAGAGAGGCATATAGAAACCTTGGGTGGGAGGGAAGAAAGGATTTATTAATTACTGCTCTATGTAGTGCAGTCTTACAGTGAAGTTAAGATCTTACAGTGAAGTTAAGAGGAAAGAAGCGAGAAGATTTGTAATTCTGTGTTCAGTGGTTGGGGTGGATACTGGGGCTCTGGCTGTGGGCTGGGATGTGAAGCACAGTTCTGGAAAGTCTGAGGGAGGGTGACTAGGATTTAGGAGCACTGTCCTGCTCATCAACTCATTCATTTATTTGCTGAGCTTCAGATGTCTTTGGATACTCAGCTTGGAAAGAGTAGAGTCTGGGTTACTCTGCACCGTGCCACAGCAGTCCTTGCTGGCAATGCCTCTAGATGAAGCAGTCTGTGGCTTGTCCTACATGTTTTCAGGGAATGCTGATATCTTCATTTCCTTCCTTGTCACACATATGTGCTCAGAAAAACCTTCTTCACTTTCTTCTTCCTATTCTACCTGCTGGAAGGAAAGGGATCAGACTTCACTTGTTTCCTTAGTGTGTTGGCTCCTGGACTGGATGATAGGAAATCAAGAGGAAAGGGAGAGAGCTTGCTCTACTGGGAAGTTCCTTCACGTAGACATGCAGTACAGGAGAAGGAATAGGCTTTGGGGACCAGACCCACATTTGGCTTGAGATGTGACAGTAATAGGAAAGGTAGAAGAATTGAGGGAAAGAGGCAGGTAATGAGCAATGTATATTGAAATAGTTTTTGTAATGCATCTGTCCGGTGAACCGGAAGGAAGGACTTAGAGATGTGGCTAAGAGAAGCCATCTGTATGTGTGCAGTAATTGAACCCAGGTGTAGGGGTAAGCTTCCTGAATGAGTCTGTCAAGAAGGAATTTCATAGGGCCCAGCAGTAAGCCTTGTGGCTCCAAGAGAACCACAAGATGTCAGAAACAGGTGGTTAGACCAGAATGGCCAAGCGGAATAGACGTGTCATATGTTTGATTATAGCTGTGTAAAAATGTGTGCAACAAAGAGAAAAACTAGAAAATTGCACAAAACAAAAGACCATGCTTTCAGGACAGTGTGTTTATGGATGATTTTCTCATCAAATTTTATTGGGTTTCATGGTTTTTACTTTAAAGAAAGCATAGAGAGGCAGATGAGATATAAAAGGTTGGTGCCACAGTTAGAAGGCCTTAAGTGGTGTAGATTTTTATGTCCGTCAGTAAAGAGGTAAGGACCACTTAAATCAGGAAAGTGCCATTTGAATTTGGCTCACGTTTCATCCTCACTGTTGGTGGAACAGGAAGGAATTGGTTGAATCAATGAATCCAGTCCAGCAGTCTCATGTATAGGTGAAGATACCCATTCTTTCCTTCCCTCACTCTCTCCTCCACACTGTGGTAGTGCCGTCACCAGTCTTATGGTAATAGTGTGGAGGAGTAAGTGAAGGAATCTTGTCATGTCCTACTGGAGTTGAGGGAACTATATTCCTTTTAATGTGTATTTACTCTTTTAGGTAACGTCTGTGCTCCCCTGCTCTGACTAGACTGCAAGCCCCTGGAGGGCAGGCCAATTTCACTACTTCCTCAGGCTCAGCATGTCTCCAACTGCATTTGCATCCTGTCCCTGGTGGATTTCTTCCCTGTTACTGGCTGTTGTGTAAAGTTGGGTAGTTCCGGGAAGAAGACCTGTTTGAAGACAGATCTTGTGAAGAGATGAGGAAGGCTAAGTGTGCTGGTAATTAGTGTGCTGCAAATGAGATGTAGGGAACAGAAGAGACTCATTACATGTGGAGGACAGGGCAAGAAAAGAAGCTGAGCCTCTGAGGTGGGTAATGGTGAATTGCTGGTGAGGCGCCTGTGGAGCACTAAGAGGCGGTTGAGGAGACAGTAGTCTGAGTTTGGGTAGAGTTCTGGTCAGAAGACACAGTTTGTAAATCACTAGTACCTAGGGCTCTGCTCAGTGACCTTAGGCACCTGAGAGCAGAGTTGGGAGGGGCTTGACCGGGAGGGCGGCGCCTGTCCTTGCTGTTGTCATAGTGTGGCTTTATTCACTAGTGTGTAGACTGTGGTGTGTCAGATGAGCCTTCATGAGATGTCCCCATTATTCTTTGAGCACTTCCCTTCTTAGTGGTACAAAAAGGTGTTCCAGCTCATGTTGTACTTTCCTTGCCCCAGCTAAAAGCTGCCATTTGCCAAGGAGCTCTTGTTTATTTAAGTGGGGAATGGTATTTAGAACGTAAAATTTGGGCTTTTGTTTTGCTTCTTGCCACTGGGTAGTCACTGTTTGTAGGACCAAACGATGGTCCTACAAAAAAAAAAAAAAAAAAAGGACTAAATGAAGAGGGGTGTGTGTGTGTGTATATCTGTAGTTCTAGTGGTCAAAAGGGATATTTTGGGATCTTTTATGTCCATTTGTAAAACAAACTTTGAAGTACATTGAGAAGGATAGAAAAATGTTAGGTCTATATCCATTGAGAAGGATAGAAAAATGTTAGGTCCATATGTAAAACAAATTTGAAGTACATTGAGAAGGATAGAAAAATGTGAGGTCTATTTCCCTCCTCCCATCCTAAAGCAAAATAATTTTAAATGCTTGTATATCAAGACTTTTCTGTCTTTTGTACCTAATGTCATATCAGCTATTTCCTTTGTGAAAACCAGCCCTGTTCTGTTCATGTATAAAGGTAATGTGAGGAACTTCCAAGAGTAGTGATCATGCTGTAAATCTTGGATTTCACATGATGTGGAAAACAAAAACAAAAAATCCCAGTTAAGTAGGATGCCACAGTCTTCCTGTGATACCTTTTTGTTATGGTGATAGAAGAGGGTCAGAATTGAGAATAAATTGGAGAAAATGTACTATTTGGCTTACAGATTGTTAGAGGAGAGAGGCTGTTCCTCTCTCTGAGTCGACCTTGGATCAGCATGGCATGATGCTTTGTCAGGTATTGTGAGGGCGGCGAAATACAGAGCTCTTCTAACCGGATTAGAAAGGTCACCTGCTAGCAAGCACCAGGTAGGAATGAAGCCAGGGTTGTAAGCAGGAGATAAGGAGTTAACCAGTTTCATCTGTCTAGTAGTTTTCATTGTTTTACGGGATATTGTTGTTGCTAAACTGTAATCTAGAATTCAGACCTTCGATCATAAAACAAAATATGGTGCTAGTCAAGCAGAGTAATTGTAAGTAGCATGTTTGGACAGTAAGTAAATTTTTGAAACTACAAATATATGTCTCTACCTTTCTGTCTCCCTTAGTAAAGCATTATCTTAGGTCCTTTGGAGGTATTGATCTGATGGGTAACTGAGGCAGAGACCAAACATTTATATCTGTAGTAAGCAGTGGATCCAGGATGTTAGGACCAGAAAGTCTGATGATTGCTCTCATTTCCCATGAATGCAAGAAAGTAATTCTTATAAATCCATGATTGCTATATTACACATCCTCAGATAAGTATGGTTTACTTAATATTGTATAGTAGAAGTATAGGTCATGTTATCCTAGAGTAAATGGTCAAAGCAGTACTTTTTTTTTTTTTTTTTACCAGTTTTCTGATTTCTGAGTTTGCATATGTTTGCTTAATCCTAAGTATCAAGTTTTAAGAAAAATTGCATATCCTTTGGAAGGTAATCTGTTAGAAGCGTGCTATTCTTAACTCTGGAAATTCTCTTTTCAGATGCTGTCTTTGCATTTCAATTACGCAACCCAGTGCACAATGGACATGCCCTGTTAATGCAGGATACCCATAAGCAACTTCTAGAGAGGGGCTACCGGCGCCCCGTCCTCCTCCTCCACCCTCTGGGTGGCTGGACAAAGGATGATGATGTTCCTTTGATGTGGCGTATGAAGCAGCATGCTGCAGTGTTGGAGGAAGGAGTTCTGAATCCTGAGACGACAGTGGTGGCCATCTTCCCATCTCCCATGATGTATGCCGGACCAACAGAGGTAGACTGCTTGTAAGATTTTCACTGCAGCAGTGTTAAAGCCACTCTTACCAACACACCTAGTGTCACCATCCAGTTGCTTTTTCTCTGCTATGTAGGTCTGTTCCAAACATTTAGCATACATAACATCCTCTCCTGCTCATTGGGGATGTTCCCTGGATGTTAGGGACAGCCTTGAGAAAGGAAAGGTGGGGAGAGGTTTCACTTGCTCTTGTGGGTCTTAGTGCCAGTTGTGAAGGAGGAGATGTTCCCAGCAAACAGGGCTGGGTTATTTGGGAAGTTATGCCACAAGCTCCTCTTGTAATTGCTGGCCACATTGCAGACACAACAACAACACTGATCTTGTCCCGTTACCAAAGTTCTAGGTCTTTGTTAAAGAGGGGAGCTGGGCAAAGCCTGTTTGTTTATATTCTTCTCTGTGTCCTTGTGTTTTCAGAGATAGGCACATTCCTTTCCTCTAGGTATAGGATGGGCATCTCTGGAATGAGGGTCTTTTGACCTACTTCAGGGGAAGATCCGCTACATTTTATGACTGCCTTAGGGGAAAGTGAGGGTGGCTTGGTTTTTTCTGCTGTTTTCTCAAATGCCAAGGTGCCATATTTTGGAGTAGTGTGTCCTGAACCGTATCAGTATGCTAGCTGCAGCAACTCCTTCCCTGGTCTCAGATTCAACTCTGCTCACTACCTGCAAGAGCATGGTCTAGTGGAAATAATACAAGACTGTTGTCGAGCAGTCCAGGCACAGTTCTGGGCCTGGGTTGCCACCAGCTGGTTTGTAATCTCACATTAGACTTATTGAGACCTCTCTAGACTACGTTTAAGTGCACAGTAAGTGGTATAGGTAGGACTAAGGGTTCTTTAAGATTCTGTCCCATTCTGATCAGTTCCTAATTTGTCTTATTTTCTTTTAACTTCACATTGAAGTATACACACACACACACACACACGAGAAAGTATATATGAAAAAGTATATATGATTTGAGTTGCAGACGTATTAAAAGAAAAAGCACATCTTTCATAGATGCAAGTAAATGAATTTTTCCCATTGGAACAGTGACATACAATTGGCTTCCAGAGTAAAAAAAAATTGTATCAGCACCCAGAAGTTTTTCTTCTTGCCCCTTTCTGTTCACTACTTGTCCTCCCCATAGGAGTCATCAGTACCCTCACATTAACATCATAGGCCCAATTAGCTTGTGTTTAAGATTGGATACCCTGGGAGCAGACTCTGAGAGTGAGGTGAGAGTTCAGGAAGTCTCTTAGGGAGAACTCTTGGGATCAACACCTCTGGAAGGGAAGAGAAAGGAAGGGAGCAGGATTCTGTAGAGGGGGAGGTCGAGCTATAGGTCAGTCTCAGTGGAGGCTTTCGTCAAGTCCATGGGGAGCTCTGGAAAGGCCCTTCAGAAATGTCCAAAGTTGCATGGGAAATAGGCATTATACCTCAGTGTTTCCAGGGGTTGGCTGCCCATGGGAGGGGGCTTACCTTTGGGTGCTGCTTCTCCTTTCAATAGAAGCAATTTGTGAGCGGGGTGACAGCTGCTGGGTGTCTGCTGGCAGCCGAGAACCTGGAGAGCCCACTCCCTTCCTGCAGAAGGCCTGAGTATTGCATCACAGCAGTAAGTCCAGCTGGTTTTTAATATTTCTGTAATTCAAATCATACCACATATGCTCGTTTGTGTCTGGCTTCTTTCACTTTACATTGTGCTTGTGAAACTCACCTCTATTATTATGTAATTAGTGGCAGATTGTTCATTCTTGGGCCTGTGTGGTGTTTCGTTGTGTGATTATACCCAATATTGTTGATGGGCATTTGGGCACTTTATAGATTTTTGCTCTTAAGAATAGTGCTGGCATGAAGATTTTAGTGCATGTGTTTTTGTGGACGTTTCTGTTAGTTATACCAGGGAGGAGAATTGCTAGGTCCTGGGATATGTATTTGTTCAGTGTTAGTAGATTCTGCCAGTCAGTTTTTTGATGTGGTTGTACCAGTTTACACTCCCATCAGCAGTGTATTGCCTCATCAGTACTTGAGTATCCTTTTCATTTTAGCCATTTTGGTCCTTTAGTCCTGATTACTTAGCCAAGCACTCTGTAATACTTTTCCTATTTCTTAACCAGCCTCAAGAAATCTCCTCATTGAACCAGTTTCACTGAAATGGAGTCTTAGTAAATGCGTTGTAGTTATAAAGGATTGAGAAATAGAATATAATGATAGTCCATATTTTATTGATTTCTTACTGTATTTTTCAGACAATATTCTGAATGCTTTACGTATGTTAACTAAATCCTTATAAAGATTGCTAGTTAATGTATAACTTATAAGTTATTTGTTTTAAGTTTTATGTTAGGTTTTATAACTTATAAGGATTAATCCTATTGTTATTCACAATTCACAGCTGAGGAACCTGAAGTAGGAGGTTAAACTATGTTCGAGATCACATAGTAGTAGTAAATGGTAGAGATAAAATCTGAACCTAAGTAATCTGGCTCCAGAGCTATGTACTATAATTTCACATAATTTTTAATATTATTATATAACATTAAGATATTTTTTAAAATGTGTAGCCACATCTTTTTTGAAAAGACTAGAAATAAATTCTTATAATATCCTATAAGAGTTCCAAAATAGTGAGTTAGGATGGCCCTAGCAACATTCGTTAGAGGTGGAATCTTCAAACAAACTTATTTTTTTTTCAAAACCTAGAGTTGCGGGTTGTGATATTCTTTGTATAATATGTATTCTTAATCTTTGTATTCTTACAATACCTGACTCGTGATATTGGTATTATCTGCCTATATTTCTGTTGTTGAGAGGAGCAAATAGGATCAGTGTAAATCATTTAACACATTGCCTGGCTCATGACAATATGTGGCAATTGATATAATTGGCTTCCTTTAAAAAACTACTTTGCTGCAAATTCTCAGCATTTCTAGGATTCTGGCCCCACATCCAAGGAAGTGTCTATATCTCCAGGCTGCTTCATAAGTCTATGAAGTCCTAGAGTTTGATTATGACAGGGAACCTGGGATGACCTACTGCCTAACAGGTTTCATGTCAGAGTGTGTGTCCTAGCCCTGATTTGGGATATCCTTTGGTGTTTAATAATGTATAAAGCTAATATAAAGAAATTAAAAATACCCATTTTATGAGTGCCTATGCATGTATCACTCACTGAATAGCTGCTTTGCGTGCATTAGGTTACCCTACAACTTGGTGAGGAAGGTTTTATTCTTGTTTTACCAGTGAGATTACTGAAGCACAGAGAGGCTAAGTGACTTAACTCTAGTCTGTCAAAGAAGACCAGAGCTGTACAGTGATTAAAGTAATAAAAACAGAACTTTATTCAGGAAATATTGCAACAGGAGAATAAAGTCCTCAGTATAGAACTGGGCTCAACTCTGAATACAGCATAGACAGGTGGGGATTGATAGCCAAGGACAGGGTGGAGCTAAGTGGATGGAAAATTACTGAGAGGAAACATTGGAAGCAGGGGATTCCGGGACAAGTGGGATTCTTGCTGAAGGCAGGCCAGGATCATCAGATACCTGGGAAGTGAGTGGAAGATAAGGAATTTGATCAGATAATGAGGGTGAGCAGATACTGAGAATAGAGGATTCTCAGTAAACAAACTTGGCAAGATTTTTGCTACAGTTGGGCAATGCAGGCCTGATAAGGATGGACACCAAAGGTCAAGGCTTAGAGGGCTCAGAGGAGCCTGACTAGTTAGTGTCTGTCTAGGAGAGATGCAGAACTGGAACTGAAACTTGGGCCTATTTTTTTTTCCTTCTAGGGCTCCTTGCTGCCAAGAAGCCTCAAAGTAACTTTGGGCTTTGGCATTTGGAGGGAAGGCCAAGAAGTTAGTTGTTTGGGGTGCCTACAGAGCTCCCAGGTTTTCTAGGGAGACTAAGAGGCACGTTAAAGCTGTGTCTGCCTCTACATCTCTGTCTGGAGTGTGAATTGTGAGCGTAAGAGATGTGGTTCTTTTCAGGAAGGCCCAGCTCTGATGCCTGAGCAAAAGGTGGTTTTTTAACTTCTGAATTTGTGAAGAATAAGCTTTAGAAATTCTAGTAAACATCTTAATATTTCAGACCATGAAGTGTTTTAATGTTTTTGGATTGGCAGTGTTTAGGCTGTTGGATTGAGCTACTTAGGAAAAGTATCTCTTTTTCTCGAGGACCTAACTTGTGTATTTGACTTATTTGGCTTATTTGCAGCCATAAGTGAAGAATTTTTTTGTAATTAAAAAAACACCCTCATTTTTGTAGCTTTTCCAGTGACATCAGGAAAAAGTCTGTCAGTAATGCTTATTTGCCAGCTAATAATAATAAAATAAAAACAATGACTCTTCCTTTAATCGTTTTTTGTAGATCATTTAGAAGGCATTGGTACCAGATTTATTTCCTTAGCACAAATGCTTTTCAGAACCATGAGCAGCTGTTAAGCCTATTTGGTTATCAACAGGATGTTCCTGATTTTCCAGTCTGTAAAGATTTTATGGCTTGAATCCTAAATTCCATTTCAGGAATGGAGGAGGCGAGGATGTCGAGGGAGTGTTAACTTTCTAATGCTAAAATGGTGTTATAGATACACATTTTGTCTTTGTGAGGTATTGACTATGTAGGAAATTCTGTTTGTCTCATCTCACTAAATAATGAGTCCATTCTTGTGAAGGATAAATAATGCTTTCTAAGACCTGTGACGTGAAAGTGTCAAAGGTAAGATATTTTTGAGAATGTGGATATATGTTACTAACAGATATACCCTTGGTTTATGAAGTTTTAATGAGGATTACCAGTTGAATTTGGGGGAAAATGCAGTTGGAGGTAGAGATTATCCTTTGCCGTGAAAATTACCCATGCACTGTTAAATGACTCTTTAAAAGAAACTGATTCTGTGTAAGCAAGTGGATACCCTTCACCAGGGACAGTAGAACATACTATGACATGGATGCCAGTGTGCTTGTTTAATTAGTCCATGCTTTACACCAGTATTTGGAGCAAT